AGCGGCACCGGCGAGAAAAAGTGAAACCCTAACTGACAAGTCACAAGAGGCAGGAGCCAAAGGCCTAGATTTTTGCTCTTTCGATGTAGGCCGCCATGTTTGGCTTAAAGTGCCTCATGATCATGTATTAAATCTGATGGACATTTCATTAAAGCTATGCATGGTTGTTGAAAACAAACTTAGCGAATTTTGTTCTCTCACTTGATGTAGGCCGTCATGTTTGGCTTGGAGTGTTCACTATCCTGTATTAATTCCTACTAAAACTCAGCATATAGTTCTCTAAGAATAGTCCAACATGATAGAAGACAACATTTTTTTGCACATGCAAGTGTTTATATATACGCGCATATACTTACCCTACTTCTACGAGCACCTACGAAAATCAAGTCAGCATATATTTACCCTACTCCTTTTACTGAACGCGCATCATCAAAAATTCTGAAATAATTTTTAAAAAATGCAAACATTAAGACTTGAGCCCTGGTGATATCATTGTTTTTTCAATCATTCGACCACAGCTTGGTTCGTAACAGTATCAGATGCTTGCTTGGCCACTTTGGTGGGGATATAATTTGGTCCTGAACAAAAAACAAAAGAAAGAAAAAATGGCTTCCGTATCAGTTGAGGAGGCGTGCTCCGGAGTCGAGCGCAAAGCATCTCCTCTCGGCTTGCCTTGTGTTGAGAGCAAGGAACCGCGGCGGTGTGTGTGAGTGTGATTGCTCAAAGGATGGATGCCTTTCAACCTCGCCCTCTGCTCCGCCGCCGGCTCCCTCCCACTACCACCTCCTCCGCCGCCGCGCCATACGCCACACAACACACACAGATCCGATCCAATCACAGCAACACCCAACCTGAATCCAGCTGCCTCGCTACAAATCGTGAGGGCCCAAGCTCAGATTTTGGAGAAAGGAGGGGCGGGAGCGCACAGCTGCAGCAGCGCTCCGGCCGGAGGTTTTTTCTTTCAGGCGGGCGGCACCGACGGCATCGGCAGAGTGCCACGCGCTGGTGCCCGACGCCGGCGAGCTGCAGGTGGAATCGGGCGACGGCGGGGCAAGGTCGGTGTGTTTTATCGAGGTGCCGTCAGTTTGCCGGCCGGACCCCGAGTATCCGCTCGCCGTCCACAAGGACGGCCTGCTCCCCCCGCCTTCGTGCCGGGGTTCCGGTTCAGCCGCGCGGCGTGGCTGACGCCTGACGGCCCCGGACCGGTGCAGATCGTCGGCGCGGTGGCGAATCGATTCTGGGTGGCGCCGGCGTGAGATTGGGGAAATTTTATTTATTGGAAAAGAAAAATCTGAGCTTGACTGCAGGTGAGTCCCACAAGTAAAGATTCTTACTGTAGCAGTTTCAGATTGCTCATCCTCTGCTTAATCTTCAGTTGCCTTTGCTGATATGTTGATAATCCTCTTCGGTACAGCAGAACAGAGCAAAAATGGCCATGGTCCTGGATGCCTTCACATCCTATGTGCAAAACATGCTGACCGAAATGGTGAGCGAGGAGGTGCACATGCTTCTTGGAGTCGGAGACGAGATTGACAAGATGGACGTCAAGCTAAGGGACCTCAAGAACTTCCTCGCCGACGCTGATAGGAGAAACATCACCGACGAAAGCGTCCAAGAGTGGGTGGCCCAGCTCAAGCGCGCCATGTACGAAGCTGCCGACATCCTCGACCTCTGCCAGCTCAAGGCCATGGAGCGGGGTTCATCCAAAGTAGACTGCGGGTGCTTCAACCCCTTGCTCTTTTGCATGCGGAATCCCTCCCATGCCCGCGACATCGGCACCCGCATCAAGGCGCTCAACAAGAGGCTCGACGCCATCAAGGAGCGAAGTGCTGCTTTTAGCTTCATCAATCTTGGTTCCTATGAGGATCGTAGCAGCAAGGTGCATGCCGCTTGTTCTAGTGATGCCAGGCGTGAGACATCAGGGGAGTTCGACCGGCAGGGTGTAGTCGGGGAGAAGATTGAAGAAGACACAAGAAACCTGATTGAGATGATGCTGACTGAAAAAGAGACCAACAACAACATCATGGTGTTCGCTATTGTTGGTGTCGGTGGGATTGGTAAGACCACTCTTGCCCAGAAAATCTTCAATGACGAAGTCATGAAGGCCGAGTTTGACAAAACAATATGGTTGAGCATCAACAAGGACTTTGGCAAGGTTGAGCTGCTAAGGACAATCATCGCGCTAGTAGGGGGAGTACATGGAGGTGAAAAGGCGTTGGCTGTGCTTCAGCCAATCCTTGCTACTGCCTTGAAAGGGAAGAAGTTATTCGTGGTCCTAGATGATGTGTGGAACCATGGAGCATGGGGTGATGTGCTTAAAACACCCTTGACTAATGTATTGGCCCGAGGTAGCCGAGTCCTCGTCACTACTAGAGATGAAAGAGTAGCTCGGGCAATGAAAGCTGTGCTTCCCTACCACCATGTCGACAAGTTGGATGAGGAGGATGCCTGGTCATTGCTCAAGAAACAGGTGTGTAACTAAATCCCATGCATCTTTAATATTACTAGTTGCATACTTAATTTGGGTGGAGATATAATAATTGGGCACACTCTTTTATGTATTGTTCTTGGAGATTATGACATGAACCCTACAATACGAACACTATATATATTTATGCTACCTCACATGCACCCGCCACATGTGTTATTGTGTGTACAGAAGGCGCAATAGTTTGGCCGAGGTATCAAATTTAGGTTGATGAAAATTGGACATCTGCACTCCCACAACAACCCCAGACCTCATATTCATATATTCTCACATGTATCTTTTTTCCAAATATATAGTTGTACTTGGGAGTAATTAATAGTGTCTGTTTTTTTCTTCCTATTTTTGTCTTTCTTTTTCCCTTTTAGCATGCTAAAATTTTGAACTATTCGTAGTCATCACCTAAAATGCAAGTCCAAACAAAATCGATAATTAGCATCTTATAAATGTTCTTCAATTTATAAAAGGTGAGAAACAGTGGTATTATTCTTCCATTTCCATCATGTTCACAAATACACAGTCAATCCTTGGCCTAAAATCCAGTCATGTTTGGCTGGAGGCATCAATAAATCCACATTAAATGGTACAGTCTATACCACAGTATGAAAAGGTTGTAATCGGCAGAATGATACAAAAGCGTGCCTAGGCCCACCAATAGGTATAGCCAACGCGTCCCATAATCTGCCAACATGGATGAAAATAAAAGCTGGTATTTCAAATTCTTCTCCTTATTTGGATGTCCAGATTATAAAAGTTCCTATGTAGAATTTCAGATAATTTTAACATGTAATAAGCCTATCACCTTGTGTAGTTATAGATAAAATATGAATTTGGTTTTTCTGGCACAAAATATGACTTTGTTTTCTCGAGGATGAGTATTTGTACTGTAGTACCTATCCGCATAATTAAGCACTAATCTATTTAGTTTCTGAGATTAAACTAAGATCTGTAACGAACAATAGCCGCTCACATGCTATAGGGCATCCCAGTTGACAGCAACATGCCCCGCTTACCAGCTCATTCACTTGATAGTTCAATTTATACAGTATATTAACTGATCTTTCATGAGTCTCTTTTCTCCACTAGCCTACTATTGACTAATATTGAGTTGACACTAGTAGCGGTTAAAAAATTACTATTTTTTTCTCTCAAGAAAAACCCTCATTGTTGACCATCAGTTCAACTGCTTGCAGATAATCTTAAGTGAAACAGATGAACGTGAAATTGATATGCTCAAGGATATTGGAGTGCAGATTATAGCAAAATGTGATGGTCTGCCTCTTGCTGTCAAAATAATGGGAGGGCTCTTGTGTCAGAAGGACAAAAAACACCGTGAGTGGGAGATGGTTCTGGATGATTCTATATGGTCAATATCTGGACTGCCTGAAGAGCTAAACCATGCAGTATATTTAAGCTATGAAGATTTATCTTCTTGTGCCAAACAATGCTTTCTGCATTACTCCCTTCTACCTAAAACTGCAGTGTTTTATAGAGATCAAATCATTGGCATGTGGGTTAGTGAAGGATTTGTTCATGGGAACTCTGATTACTTAGAAGAACTAGGAAGCACGTACTATAAGGAGCTGATACTGAGGAATCTTGTGGAGCCAAATACACAATATGTTGATCAATGTGTCTGCAACATGCATGATGTTGTACGCTCATTTGCTCAGTTTGTGGCTAGAAATGAGGCACTAGCAACTTGCAGTGGAGAAACTAATATTGTTAGTAAACTTAGTGGACATGAGTTTCTTCAGATATCTTTAGAAAGCAAAGGATCAGAATCAGATGGTTTAGACTGGAGTTCTTTGCAAGCACAAAAAACACTAAGGGCACTAATATCAGTTGGCTATATAAATATCAAGCCTGGTGATTCGTTGGTTCATTTTCCATGTCTGAGAACTTTACATATAGATTCTGCACATGTTGTAGAATTGCTTGAATCTTTGCATGAACTCAAGCACCTGAGGTACCTGTCCTTAGAAAACACCGATATATCTAGTCTGCCAGATAGCATTGGAAAGATGAAATTCTTGCAGTACATTAGCCTTTATGGATGCGAACAATTTTTGAAAGTTCCGCATAGCTTTGTAAAGTTAGGGCAGCTAAGGTACCTTAACTTCTGTGGAACAAGCATAGAAGGCATACCTAGGGGGTTTCATGCTCTAACGAGCATGAGGGCATTACATGGTTTTCCAGCTCAGGTGGATGGTCATTGGTGTAGTTTGGAAGAGTTGGGTCCTCTTTCTCAGCTCAAGCATCTTCAGTTGGATGGATTGGAGAATATAACTGCTTCTTCATCTGCAGCAAAGGCAAAGCTTGGCGACAAGGTGCATCTTACCGACCTAACCTTAGCTTGTGGTAGCATATTGGGATATGATGGGCTGATTAAAGAGGAAGATGGTGTCTCTGAGGAAGAGCAACAAAAAATCGAGAAGGTGTTTGATGAGCTCTGCCCTCCGCCCAGGTTAGAAAATCTTCACATCAGAGGGTATTTTGGCCAACGACTCCCAAGGTGGATGATGTCATCATTAGATGTGTCCCTCAGTAGCTTGAGGATTCTGTTCATTACTGACCTGGCTTGCTGCACACAGCTTCCTGATGGCTTGTGTCGGCTCCCCTATTTGGAGTTCATTCAGATCCTCCGTGCTCCAGCCATCAAGCGTGTTGGACCTGAATTCATGCAGTCCTACCATCAACACAGTCCTCGTCCTTCCCAGATGGTGGCAGCATTTCCGAGATTGCATAAGATGGAGTTAATAGGAATGGTGGAATGGGAGGAGTGGGAGTGGGAGGAGCAAGTGCAAGCCTTTCCTGTCTTGCAGGAACTTATGCTAAAGCAGTGCAAATTGAAGTGCCTTCCTCCTGGTCTTGCCTCTCAGGCAGGAGCTTTGAATAAATTAACCATATACAATGTCCAGGGTCTCATCTCTGTAGAGAACTTTCCATCTCTGGTCGAGCTGGAACTGGATGAAAACCTTGACCTGGAGAGGATCACTAATCTTCCTAGACTGCAAAAGCTTACCATCCAGGACTGCCCAAAGCTGAAGGCACTAGAAGATGTTCCTGCACTCCAGAGGATCATACTCACAGATGAAGACATGGAGGCACTCCCAGAATACATGGGAGGTATAAACCCAAGGCATTTGGAGCTATACTGCAGCCTAGTGCTGCTTACTTCCATAGCCGCAGGACAATCTGGCGCTGAGTGGGACAAGTTCGGCCATGTTGAGCATGTCAAGGCATATGCAAGCGAAGGAGGTAATTCAAGGAAATGGTATGTCTTGTACACAGCTAATCCCTACAGCTTGGAGACAAATGTCAGCCACTCTTTCATGTCCAGAGGTAATTTAGCATTAATTGTTCATCTTAATTTGTTTGTGTTTGCTCTGTTTATTTAGTTTGTTCTCTGATGGTTGTTTCTTCCTTTCATCCATAAGCTAGAGTTCGGAATATATTTGCTACATTCGCATTTCCTTTGAATACGCCCTTCGAGAGTAGTGCACTAGGACATCAAATACATGGTAGAAATGACGACATTGGCATGACTACCTTCTTCTCTGAAGAAAATATTTGAATAGTTTTTTATTGCTTTGTGATGGCTATATATTTACCAATGCTTCTTTCTGATTTGACTGCACTCCCTCATGCCCTAAATCCCTCATGACCTAAATATCTTTTATACTTAGTATTCCCCCTAGGTTGTGTCCAAATTTTAAATGAAGAGTAGTATCTCTACAAATTATTAAAGCTCATGTATGATTTCTGGATCTCACTGTTTTAACACGGTCACATTTAGGCTCTTGCCTTGTAAATTATGGATTTGTAACCACTTCTATTCTTTTTCTCATGCAGGAACCTTGACTTCCTTTGAGGACGGGCAAAGATTTGAGTCTCTCTTCAAAATGACGAGAAAAAACTTTAGCTACATCTGCAGCTTAGTGATGGGGCCATCAATGGAAGATATGAACAGCTACACCTTTGTTGATGGGAGGGTGCTGTCTTTAGAAGATCGGGTAGCCGTTGCTCTTAGAAGGTTGCAGTCCAGTGAGCCAACAGAGAGCATAGCATCTTCTGTTGGTGTGAACGAGTCAATCATCTTGTTGGTAACTGAGAGGTTCGTTGATACTGTGTGGGAGCAGGCAGACCACCACTCAAGCTGGCCAGACTCCAGCGAAATGGATAAGATCAAATCCAAGTTTGACAAGATCCACAATATGCATAACTGTTGCGGGGTTATATGTACGAGGCACATCCCATTTGGACCAAACTGGGACCATGAGAAGAATGGCAGCACACTGATACAAGTTGTCGTTGATCCAGAGATGAGGTTTAGAAACATTTGGCTCGGATCAGCAGGTATGACCCAGTCAAGCCTTTTGCACGACTCTGCTCTCTTCAAGGAGTGTGTGAAGGGTGATTTGCTGAATGGCAGCAAACTGAATACGGCACTAGATGGATCAGAAGTTGGGGAATACATAATTGGTGATGCAGGATATCCTCTTCTCCCATGGCTACTCACACCATATGAGGAAGAAGAGCTCTCAGATTTCAAGACGGAGTTCAATAGGAGACACTCCGCAGCCACAACCTGTGCTCTGAAGGCGCTGGCAAGGTTCAAAGACACATGGAAGTGCCTGCACGGAGAGACGTGGTGGCCAGCCAATCTGGAAACTCTAAGTAAAATAATATATGCCTGCTGCAGGTTGCATAACATAGTCATAGACATGGAGGATGATGCAGCCATGCGGAGCACTAAGTGGAGGAATTACTCCAAGGAAGTGCGCCAGTTAGCAAACGAGGATGCTGTCCGGGCGAGGGATATGCTATCACAATACTTCTTGGCTAGCAGGTCATCTGAATCGGGAGGTGAATTACCATAACTTTCCTACATCTTAATTTGATCCTTTGGTTGCTCTATTCACTAATTTTTCGTATTTATTTCCTCCTGCTGGATGCAGAGCGGGATGATGAAGCAGCTTCATCAGGCTCAGGGGGTGAAAACAAGAAACAAGAAGCACAGACAAGAACAAGAGATGAAGATATCGTTAACTAGGTACAACTGCTAGCACGCTGTGCTTCAAGGCTTGTTATTCCCTCCATCCAGAAATACCAGAGTTCTCCTTTGCTTGGTTTGTTCTTTTGATATGGCACTAATGCTAGTGATAGTCTTCAACTTTTGATATGGTTACTACAGTACATGTTAATTACATAACTCGATCCGAAAGAATGGTCATTGATACACACTATTAGCAGCATGTTAACTGATACTCTGTACCGGCAATTGCTTTAGCCAATGGTTCATATAATAGCATGCGTGATCTGTCTAGTTAATAAAGTTAGCAGCTATACTATGCATGGAAACATGAAACTTCTTGATATGTTAAACCCTGGTGCATGGTCGTATATATCTGATATAATTGAAACCTTGGTTTGATCAGGTGAAAGGGGAGCTACATCCTGCTGGACGTGATTGGAGCTTTTAAATGCACGAATGCAGAGCAGCCCTGGTGAAAGGGAAGCCTACTTTGACGCTGCATCATGAACTGAAGCTCAACATTCTTTTCAAGTTATGTCCATCTACTGTATTTATCAAAGGTAAGTGTTGTCATGTAGTCTCTACTTGGTGTATGGGCAGTAAGCTTTTGTGTGTCAGGGAGAACGAATTAAATGGGCAGTAAGCTTTTGTGTGTCATGAGTCCACGCAATTCTCTTAGCAGAACTTTTTTTTAAGGGTTTTTATCAGTTATGCCACCGGTTGTGTCCCACTACTCAGTTTTGCCACTAGAAATTTCAACTACTCAAAAATGCCATCGCTTCGTTAGACACATGCTCAAAAATGCCACTGGACACCATTATTGTGATCTAAAATCTCTTTTGCCATGTCATACTGACATAAATACCTATGAATCAACATGCCAGCTTTCCTCTATCTCACTACAATAAAGTGTGGGGCCCACTTGATCCCAACAACGTTCTTATTTTCCTATAAAATTATTCGCTTGGTTACTCCTGACAAGTGGGGCCACACTTATCGTTGTGAGATAGAGAGAACTGACATGTGGTTCTAGGCTTATTTTTGTCATATAACATGGTCAACGAGTTTGACATGAAAATAACAATGTCTAATGGCATTTTTGAGCAAACATCTAATAGAATGATGGCATTTTTGAGATATCTAATGGCATTTTTGAGCAAGCCTCTCACGGGTCGATGGCATTTTTGAGCAGTTATAACTTCTAATGGCAAAACTGAGTAGTGCGACACAACCGGTGGCATAAATGATAAAAACCCTTTTTTTAAACGATTCTCTTAGCAGAACTCCAGTAGTTAGTAAAACAGAGTGTATTTTTCTTTCTTTCCTAGCCTGGCTGGCTTGTTGGTTGGAGGTGTGATGGCGACTCCCATGTAATACTAGTAATCTACTTGTTCAGACGTAAAGAGGGACATTTCACACTTCACAGCTACTACCAGTTAACTGGTTTGAGAAAATGCAGTAAAGAAGTAAGACTGGTATTTTAAGTCAGTTATTATTCCTGAGATCGTCCATGAAACTCCAGTAATAGTCTCGAAACAGAGTTTCCCATGCTTTCCGCTTTTTTTATTTCCAATGTATGAATGTAGTATCCTCTTGACACACCACATCAGAACATTGTAATGTGCAGAACACGGAGAGTGTCTCTGTTTCACTCTTCCTCAACTGGCAAGCAACAACAACTCTGGAACGCGCAACATTTTGTCATCGATCCTGTGTAAAATACAGCAAGGGTGATTGATGTTCATGCTACAAAGTATGGAAAGTCTTGTTATTCCCTTCATTTCAGCAAGCTGAAACCATTCGCTTCTTCTCATCAGCTCAATGTATCAAGCAACCTTTATAACTGGTTTTAACTCCGAAAGACAGATAACTGATACAACTGCTAGCAGTGTGCCAAGCAGAACATTAGTACTCCTACTATTGTGTATTTCCCTCTGAATTGCATATGCATGCATCAACTAGTTGCGGGCTTGCAGCTACGCAATAGCAGCAGCCATGTTTTCAGACGTAACGAGGGCCATTTAACAGTTTTATGACAGAATCAATTTGGTATGAAAAGTGGTCAAGAAATTACCATGATCTTAACAGCACTAAGACTGGCATCTTAAGTCAATTCTTCCTAGGATCAGCCATGAAACTCCAGTAGCAGCAACACAGAGTCATCTATCTTTGTTTCTTCAGTAGCCATGAAACTAACTAACTAAAGCTGGCTTGTTGGTTTGTTTTGACTTGAGTAAACAAATTCTAGGAGAAAATCGAGAGTAAAGACTTGTGTTTTGCTGAGTTTACATCTAAGCACGTTTCTGAATTCCGATGCAAACCTGTTGCGTCGAAAGAAGATGACAGGGCAGTGCCATCACATTTATCTTTCACCAGTGACAAACTCTTGTTCTCGAGAAATCCTGGTATCATCCATGATTGGCAAAATCGGCAGTCACATTTTTCCAAGTACAGACAGGCAAAACTATGCATACGGTACTCTTTGCAGACATTAATCAAACGGAGTCGAGTGCAGCTCCTTTAGAGCTCTGCTCCTTTTTCTGTAAAGTTTGACTTTAATATCCCAGCCACTTGAGTCAGCCTAAAAGTACATGGTTGTTGAGCAAGTAACTGAACCTGTGCATGATTCAGAAGTCGTTAGGGTACTTTGTCAGGCTTAAACCCCAGAGAAATGTATTCCTTTCTGCTTATAAGATCTTCATCAGGAGCGGGTCAGATCCGATCCAAGAGCTGCAACTAAGAGAATTCATTTTTTTTTCGAAACGGAGGCAAAGATTGCCTCATCTATTAATTAAGCAGAAGAGAATTGCCCAGTTAATTACGGAAAACCAGGCAAAAACCGGAACAACAAGGGCCAAGCCCACTCCCATAGACTGAAACACACAGGGCAAGGCAAAGCCCACCCATATCGACGACATGTTGACCTGCGGTCATACAATGCAGCTCCGCTCCGACTCTGACGGAGAACTCAGAAGAACGAAACCAGGCACGACTGGCGCCATGGAAGATCGCCGAAAGGGCCGCCTGCAGCCAGTCATCGTACACCACACGGCCCCGCCGCCGCAGCTTCGACTCCACAGCAACAAACAAACCGAGAAACATTAATCCATACAAAACAACACACACACACACACAGAGACACCGTAAGAATGGAGGTCCCCTAATAGGATGAATCATTTAATCTGGACTCTTTAAGTTGGTGTGATTGACCCTTTGGGGATATGACTGTCAATGCTTTGTAATACCATTAGTGGGGATGATTTTTAGCAAATGTTGAAAACCGACCTGTTCGTGATCAGCACCATTAGAAACAACAACAGAACGATCAGAGACTGTAAACTCTCAGCCATCCATGCGTGACACGACCCCGCAATCTTCTTTAGCTATCTGTTGAGAAATTAACCAAATTCATCAAGTAATTATCACACAAGCTTAGAGCAGGACAAAAGAAGCCATCCGACTCAGGATCAATGAGCAGAAATTTATCAAACTGAAATTAAAGATTATGCAAGTTCTACATTCGTGATACAGCCTCGCCAGCTTCTTCAGCCATCTCTTGAATACAATAACCAAATTCATCAAGTAGTTACACTAACAAACTCCACACAATAAGCTTAGAGCAGGAGAAAAGAACCATCCTACTCAGGATCAATGAGCAGAAATTTATGGAACTCAAACTAAGACTATGCTCCCTAATTACATTTCAGAATACATGCATCACTTTGATGCCTGTTAATATGCAAATTCTACATTTCTTAAATCTATTGCTTTCAGAAATTAGTTCACAATAGCTCAACGATACCTTTACCCCTATAAAAAAATTAACCCAAATTTTGAGAATCCAGAAATATAAGAACTGTCAGACTAAAAATGCAACAAGGTTTGGAGTCTAATTCCATGAGGTAAAAAGGATTACCAGAACGCCAGCACCCATGTCTCATGGCTTAAGCCAATATTCCCGATAGGTTAATTTCAATTTTTTGGGGTTATTTTTCAGTTTTCGTACACAGTCTCAGAAAATATTAATTCTGGTCAGAATATGTAGCCTTCCTTTTTGCAAATTTGGATCACCCAAGCGCTATACATGTTCAGGGGTGTTTGGTCGGCTTGCACATTTTTCAGAAATGCGCAACTCGAGTTTCCTTTTTTCAAATATTGCAACCAACGGAAAATCCTATTCCTCACCCGTTTTCTATACAAAACTCACCCCTGGCGGTAATAGGCTGGTGCATGTACGGGATAGGTTTTCCCACTTCAGGAAGATTCGGGAAGGTTCTGCCCAAGTTTTCTTATGTCCTTCTTGCTGTGTTTTCTTTGTTGGTTTTAACGACTTCCTTCAATTTTGTTTTTGTTCGTTTCCAGTTGTTTTTGTTTTTCGTTTTTCTTCTCCTTTTTAATTTTTTTACTTTCCCCATTTTAATTGTCGAACAATACTGAAAAGTCATTAACTTCTAAAATTCAAGAACATTTTTTTCTTTTGTGAAAAAAATCAATCAAATTTGCGAGCATTTTTTTAATTCGTGAAAACTTTTCATACTTAAAAAAATTCGAAATTCACATTATTTTTAAATTCATCAATATTTTCGAATTTTTTAAGCAATTTATAAAAAATATTAAATGTTTTTTCAGATTGGTGAACATTTTGAAAACAAATCTAGAACAATTTATTAAATTCACGGATATTTTTACTATACAATAATTTTTTAAAATCTATCAAAAACGGAGTTTAGCCCAAGCGAGGAGTTACCATTTTTTTAATATCATTTTGAGTGAACATCAGCTGAGGGTTTCTTGGAGCGAAGGACTGCACCGTTTTATTCTTTTCCCTTTTGTTTTTTGTGTGGTAACAATTTTTTTCAATTTTCACTTTATTTTATTATTTTCTATTTTTTTTGTCTTTTCATTTTTGACCTTTTCCATTTCCATTGACGAACATTTTTGAAAAGTCATGAATACTAGTTAAAAATTCTGAACTTTTAAAATCGAAGAACTTTTTTTCATGCTTGTGATAAATCATTTAAAATCTTCAAACATTTTAATATTTAAAGTAACAATTTTTCGTGAAGATAAAAGCAAGGAGTAAGCCTTTTTTAATTAATCTTTTTGAGCAAACATTAGTTGAAATTTTCCTGGAGTGACGCATCAGGTATACGATGACGCATCAGGTATTTTGCATGCTATTGTTATGTGTGAATGTGTCTACTATTTGCGTAGTATGTGCTTATGTGATTGAATATTAGTATATGTTCAGTATTATCAATGCCATGCTCAAGATTATTTTCTAGATTAAATTAACCGGAGAATTGCTAATATACTCAACAGCGACCACCCCAGGACCTCAAAACCATGTAAGGAAAAAACACACATGGCTACACATTCAGAAAGTTTTTTTTTTCTTCAGGGGTGCACATTCAGAAAGTAAAAATACAAAAGAGAAACACATCACTCATGTGATTTAAAATCAATGAGTGCACGGTATGTGAGCCACTAGGAGATCAGTTACTTTCGAATGCATTTGCTAAGTTTGCACCACCCTAACCCAATCTAGCGGGCTGTCGGGCTATCTGGCTAGTTTATTTAATTAAAAAACATTGTGGCCTACATCCATCGATCGATGTCTAAGGCTTACAGTGGTGTAATATATTCCCCGGTTTTTCTCAATCTGAGAGAGATCGATGTTAATGGAGACGAAGAAAATGGTAATGATGGGCCGGGATTTGGCTCGCCGGATCAACTCGCCTTGCCGGTAGACCAGCAAAGCCGGCGCGTGGAGGTCGGAGAGACGAGATGCACCGCACACCTATGGTCGCGTGGGGGACGCGTTGACTCCATCGGTCTCTCCATTCTTTCCAATGTAAACGACATTCGTAAATTACCTCAATAAAAGATGGCTAATATAAACTCTATTACCATTTGACAGTTATTTATCTAAGCCCAACATGCTGAAAGTTACATTTCTAAATATTATAGTATTTACGCTTGGTTTAGTTCTTACGGAGGAGAAATGGTTAATAAAAAAATTGGGACCTTCGTGTAACATAGGTAGTATATGTAGAGAACGGACGTTTGACTCTTGGCCTTCATGGAGGCCTTTTTTTTTGAAAATTTCAAAATTCAAACTTTTTGGTTTCAAAAAAATCTGAAAAAATTTGTGCATGTAAATAAGGGTGTTATGTGTATGTGTGTAACATTTTAGGATGGAATACGTTGAAATGCGGCCTATACAAAAAAGACAAATTCATGGTTTGGGAGGATGAATTAATAGTATCATGTGTTAAAAGGTCCCAAATTTGTCTTTTTTGCACAGCCCCATTTCAACGTATTTTGCCCTGAAAATTTACACATATATGTGTTATGTCTCCATGTATATCTTTATTTTTCTGAATTTTTTGAAACATAGAAAATATGAAATTTGATGAATTTTGAACTTTTCAAAACCGAGCTCCATGGAGCTCGGCCTCCAAAGGCAATATTCGGTATATGTACTTATAAGAATTTTGAAAATAAAATAGTATTAGGACATTAGGATGGTTCCGGCACATGTGTGTGGGCCACTACCCAAGGCTTACAGCAGTGTTGTGATATATTCTCCGTTTTTTCTCAATCTGAGAGAGACCGATGTCAATGGAGACGAAGAAAATGGTAATGATGGGCACGTGAAGACTCGGAAAGGATAAGGACGATGGGAGAGAAACTTGGGTCGGCTGAATTACAATCATTTTCCTTGATATATTGTGGTTGCTGAATAAGCTAATATTTGCACCCAAGTACGACTTTCATACGACCTAACGTAGCATTGTCCGGCGCGGAGGAGAGAGAAATATGGGATCATGTGTAAGATAGTACTATAAATAGCAGGTTCCCTGCACTCAAGAATGTACAATAAGTGGGATCGAGTCTCCTTTCTTGCCTCGTGCGCTCTCGCTTCCAGTGATCCTTCCAATGGAGAATATGCTCTCCTCAGCCCCGCTGCCATCGTCCCTCCCGGACCGCTTCATCTTGCTGCCTGACCAGCGCCCACCGGCATCATCCGTTGCCGTATCGCTGCCCGTTATCGACCTCAGCCGCGGCCGCGACGAGGTTCGCCGCGCCGTCCTGGACGCCGGCAGGGAGCTCGGCTTCTTCCAGGCAAGTCGAAACAAACCAAGCAGCAATCAATCCCCTCGTTTAATTCCACTTGACCCTCCACACACGGAGACACCAACATTGTCATAGTAGACAGACACATCACTCCTGCATCACGAGAATGGAGGCACCAATAATGCGTGGTAATTCAAATGAATGCAGGTGATCAACCACGGCGTCTCCGAGCAGACGATGCGGGAGATGGAGGAAGTGTGCGAGGAGTTCTTCCGGCTGCCGGCGGCGGACAAAACGGCCTTGTACTCCGAGGACAGGTTCAAGCGCAACCGGCTCTTCTCCGGTACCATCTACGGCGATCGTTACTGGCGGGACTGCCTCCGCCTTGCCTGTGCCTTTCCCGTCGGCGACACAAAGAACGACTGGCCCGACAAGCCCCAGAGTCTCCGGTAAAGATCGCCGTGTGCCTCTCCGATCCGATCAATTTGGCTTTGACTCTTTCGTCTCGTGCACTCCAGGGAGGTTATCGAGAAGTTCATCATGCCGACGAGAGGCGTCGCTATGGAGCTGCTGCGGCTGCTAAGCGAGGGCATGGGGCTCCGGCCTGACTACTTCGAAGGGGACCTCAGCGGAGGCGATGTGGTCATCCACGTCAACCACTATCCGCCATGCCCGGACCCGAGCCTGACGCTCGGCCTGCCGCCGCACTGCGATCGGAACCTCATCACCCTCCTGCTACCGGGCACAGTCAACGGCCTACAGGTGGTCTACAAGGGCGAATGGATCAACGTAGACCCCGTACCCAACTCCTTCATTGTCAACTTCGGCCGCCAACTGGAGGTAGCTAGCTAGCCCTAAAATTGGTAATCAGTTATCGGCTTAATCAGTTATCGGCGTTCATCATGCCGGCCGCGGACAGCCTCATCGGCCCCGCTGAGGAGTTTGTTAGCAAGGACAACCCGCCGCGCTACCGCCCGGCCATTTTTGGCGAGTTCATACGCTGATGCGCATGTAAAGTTTTCCCAATAAACGCGCTCTCTCGTGCGCGTAACAAGAAACCACCAGTGATGTGTGTCGATCGTTGGGTAAAAATATCTCATGCTAGTATATACTCATAAAATAAATCAACGCCCACTTACAGGGGCTGGATATTTTGTTAAACACATAATACTATACTAGTAGAAGAATAATGATATTTCAAAGTCATCTCTTTTACTTTGAGCCTAGCCCTAACTAAAAGCATTCGAAGGCTCGGAGAATTCTCGTCCGGATATAAACCTATCTATCGATTACTACGCAGTGTGTAACTTTTTCACTTTCATTTTCCCATATTACCGAGCACGGACTACCAGATTTTTTTTTGCGACGGTAAAAGGAGTGTATTTCTCAAGAGCAGCGAAGTTCATCTCTACACAAACTAGGAATGTTAACAGGACCAAAATGGATCCAAACCACAGTACGGTCCTACGTCCTCTCAAAGTTTGCGAAAACATGACTAACATTCTTCTACTCTCTCTAAAAATATGAGCAATTCTACACTCCTGCTCGCCCACAAGCCAATCTTCACCTCCGAAAGAACCATGGCATATTGGGACCGATCATGTCCCTTAGCATTGGTCACTTGGACAACTTGCAAACTATCACACTCCAAGATGATTGGTAGTTATGTCCAATGGTGCGCGAGAGCCAAACCCTCCATGCACCCTACAAGCTCCACATCCAAGACGTCCAGGCATGACCATGGGGACCTGCACGTAGAGAAAATGATGGAGCCATGCATCATGGCCACATAACACCATCCCCGTGCATGCACTCCCATCCTCTTGATGTGTTTAGATGTTCAATACAATAGCTAGAGGAGGTGCCATACATGATTATGGTTATCTGATGTATTTGTAGTGGTGATGTTAATCATGTGATGAATTCTTTCTTTATGTTCAGATTTATGAATGTCCACTTGTTTAATCGGACAGTTTAGATCGGTAATCAGTAGTGAGAGAGGTATGCAATAGTTGGGTTCAATCTTGTAAATAATCTACCACAATGACAAAAATTGAAAATTACTTTATATAATTGTTGCTACTATAAGGGTTAAGCTTTATTAAAGGATTCTTTAAAATCCCATAAACAGCTATATGTCATCTTGCTCAAATGATTGCATGTGTTCACACTTAGGCCTCCTTTGGTTTACAGGAATTTCATAGAAATTCTAGAGGATAGGATTCTTATAGGATTTTTTTTTCTTTAGAGCCCTTTGATTCATAGGAATGAATTCCTATTCCTACATAGGATTGATTCCTATCCTCCACATCTCATAGGAAAATAAAAAAGAGCCTAGACTCAATGGAAAAATTCCTTTGATGTCAACCAAATGACATCTTGTTTCCTATTCCTACTCATAGAATTTGAGATACATGTCATCTCATTTCCTACAAAATTCCTATTCCTATAATAATCCTATCCTATGAACCAAAAGAGGCCTTAAAGTCCAAACGGTGCAGAGGGATCTCGATCTATGCACCGGCTATTTAGCTACAAGATGCAGAGGGTATCTGGGTTTAATAGTATTTTGGACGTATTGTCTATGTAAGATCAACACTTATATGTTTGACATGAACATGAAATACATTTTTTCACGTGATTATGTTAGTTACCGCACTTTTATGTATTGGATAGATGTACTTGGTGAACCTATGAACCATGGTCTACTTACCACACTTTTATAAACTCTTTTATTTTCAGTTTTGATTTATTCAAAAATACAAAATTAGTATTTACTACTTTATCCTTTAATCGTCTTGTGCAACTAGCAAGATTAGCACCCTTGCTAGCACAGTTAGGGACACAAGTGTATTTTATTTGTGTTGTAAAATATTAAACTATCGCAGAATACCGGTACCTCCATGGATTGATACATCGGTTTCTCACTGAGGGAAAACTTGTTGTGTACTGCAAACACCTATGCTAGGGAGTCCAGCCAGGCTATTTTCCGTTAGCAAGGCTTAGGTTTTTTTAGCTGAGTCATCCGTGCGTCGGTTACTTAAGGAAAATAAAGGGATATGGCTTTGGTGGCATCTTTGTATTGCGTGTACTCGGCAAAGGGGTGACTCCTGGCCTTCCTTATTTGGAAAAAAGAAAAATATAAATGTTTACTGAGTTCCCATTAGTGGAAACTCGAGAGAAGTCGCAACGATTGCATGTTGCCGTCAGCAGGGTTGTGTCGGGCCCATTGCTCATGTCTTTGCTAACTTCGTGTGGAAGGAAACACGGGAAATGGGGTCGAGTTTCGTTTGATTGCCGAATTGCTTTTCCTCTATTGGGCAGACTTCTCTATTTTGCAGAGTTTCATGTGATTTATGAGTTCGTTTATATCCGTTCTCAATAAGAGCAATTTTAACGTGTCACCTCTTACCTCCACTTTCCACATGGGAGGTAAAAAAGTAAGAGTTACTAGGATCCACTACTTATTAAATTAATGGCTCAGATCTATTATCTACTCTTACCTCTCATGTCAAAAAAAAAGATACGAGGGAGCATGTTAAAATTTGCCTCTGGCAAACAGTAGCATTGCCGAGCTGCCAATAGAAAGCACTCGGCAAACTCTCCGAACTAGGCATCTTTGCCGGTTCATGTAGTGCTAGGACAAAAAAGTGCTAGAATATAGGATGTGTTTGGTAATCCGCATCAACCCCAACCAGACCGGGAGGAAAATAGCCTGTTTAGTTGACCGGCCTGCATCAGATACTCGGCCCGCATAAAACTTAAAGCGTCTCTAGTCCTACATGCATGGGAACAGGCTGAATCGGCCGTTTCCTGTGAGCCAGGCTCAAGTAAGGATGGCAATGGGTAGGGTATGGGGCGGTTAGAGAAATACCATACCCATAACCCTGTAGTTAATGGGTACAAAATTCTACACATACCCGTATCCATAGCCGACGGGTACCTATACCCATTGGGTACCCAGCGAATAGATCAAACAGTACACAAGTTATTGATAATTTTACATTCATTTATAGCACATTTGATACGAAAAACATTTAGCTCAACTCAAGAACAAATATATGCGTACAAGATAATCATTATACATATACTAAATCTGACCAGGTTTCTTTTACCCTGTTTTTTTGACTTTTTTCAATCAGTGAAAAACCAACCAAGATAATCATTATACATATACTAAATCTGACCAGGTTTCTTTTACCCTGTTTTTTTGACTTTTTTCAATCAGTGAAAAACCAACCAATTTACTGGGGGTTCTGATGAGGTACACATTATGGTGCACCTAGAGATTTTCTTCAGGATTTTGTGCCTGTTGAGAGCGGTTATTAATGTCCAAGCGTCGTACGGACGCATCTGTCCGTACAGGCGCCTTTTTGTATAGACGCCTTCACAATGCGTCTCAAATCTTGTATAAATATATAATTCTCAATCAATGTAAGCATCAGATCATTCGTACAATCACTTTTACTTTTTACACGTTATCAACACTGCTCTGCCAAAAGTAAGATAGAGCCATCACCGGGAAGGACAAGAAAAAGTAGGTCATGGCAGGGAGAAACCTGTCATCAACGGCTTTCGCTTTCGCTCGCTTTATCCAAAGAGAGAGCCGTCGCCTTTCCCGCACTCCTCGCCACCGTGCCGCATGTCGCCGTCATGGCCTTGGTGTAAGGAGCGGCCCACGTCGCCGCTTCTTCGCCAGGAACCACCGCCAGAACCGCCGCCGTGGATATGCACGCCATGGCAACCACCCTGTGCACCAGGCTGGGCCTTCCGCCACGGCCACTGCTGCAAATGGAGAGATACCTGCAATGCGCCAGGCCGGGCTTTCGGCTCCGGCAGTCGCCAACGAGTACGTCGGACACGCGACTACACCAACTGTCTTCTCCATCCCTCCGATGGAGTGGTTGCTTGCAGGGCCATCGGCGCCGTTTCTCGGAGAAGAGGAGATGTTCCCTTATGAACTCGCGCCGCCACCACTGCCCCCGTACTGCCTGCAGCACGAGTTTGGACCGTGCCCAGCACGTACGGGTGCACAACCGCGGCTGCCGTCACCGACGCCGTCGGATGAATTGCCGGAGCACTTCTTCCCTCCTGGATATGGTCCTGTCCCGGATCTCCCGTCTCCGACGCCGGCAGCAGTGGAAGTCCACGCCTACTCCACCGTCCCCGATCTGAACATGGCCATCAAGGAAGAAGAAGAGGAGATGGAAGGACAGGGCTCGTCGTCGACGCCGCCGCCGCCTCCTTCATCACCGGCGACACCACCCCTCCCTCCCACGCCCCCACCGGAGGCGCGTCGGATACTGCGGCAGTTCGCCGCGGCCATGGCGCAAAACCGCGCAGCCGTCCGGGGCGCGTGGTCGCCGGCGGCCCTCGGCCTCACCGGCGCCCCCGGGGCGTGCAGCAGCGGCGGGGGCCATACGGAGATGCGGGGCACACCCCGCCTCCCTTGAAGACGACGCCATGAGCAGGGAAGAGACGATGTGGTGAGGTGTTGTGCCAGATCGAGCAGAGAAGTGGGGAACGGGAGAAGCGGCGCTGTGTGGGAAACCCTCGTGCGTGCTATCCTTATCCTTCTCTCTGTCGGTGCATGGGCCAGCCCAAGTCACGTACGTTCTCACCAAACAGGCCTACAGGCCAAGAAATCTAATAAATGGCTGCTGGCGCTGTGTCGTTTCCAACAGGAAATAGCCATAGTGTATATATTGTACAATAGCTTGTTCTTTCTATTTGAGAGTAGTATTTTATTGTATTAAGAACCTCTGCTTATCATATTCAGTACTGTATTATAAGTGTGACTATTTAGACTATGTATCGTCTAACATAAAGTCTCAGACTATGTGTACATATTC